GGAACCCAGGGTTTTAGCTTCCGCTACACTAGCAGGAAGACTATTCCATACTCTAACTATACACGCTGTGTAAAGAAGTGCTTTCTCAAATTCATTTTAAAATGTTCTCCCGCTAATTTCCACTTATGGCCACGAATTCTAGTATGTAAACTAATATTGAAGTAGCCATTTGGCTGAACAGCATCCAGACCCGTTAGAATCTTATAGACCTGGATCATGTCCCCCCTTAGTCTCCTTTGCTCAAGGCTAAACAGATTCAGCTCAGCTAACCTCTCCTCACAAGACATTCCTCTAAGACCAGGAATACTTTATAATTTATTACCATTATTTTAGCATGTAGTCTACATTGAAAATATCAACAAAGAGAATTTTGTGGAAACAGAATACTGAAATAAATCAGACTTGTCGATGAAATATACTATGTAATCGGCCGCCCTCGGGGGCCCCCTTCCAGCTTGGGCCCCCAGGCCATTGCCTGCCCTGCCTGTCCTGTCTCTATGCCTTGGGATGTACCCTAGTCTTGTATGCTATGCTGCCTAGGATAAGAGTATCTCTTGACTAGGATAAGCGGATGGATGGATGGATGGATGGATGGTTGGAGTATCTGAAGTGTATAATTTTAATTAAAAATTTATAACGTTATACTGTACATGTAAAATAATAAAGGATAATTGAAAGATGTATTTAGTGCTTTAGTTACATTGTATTTATGAACTTCTCCATATACCTGTAATATAGAATTTTTAACATTCCATCCACCAGAGATCTTCACTCTTACTTGCTTGGAGACCAGGAGGAGAGTGACGACGACGGCCAGCAACAGGCCAACAACAACCAGCAGGTCCGCAACGAGGAGGCGGCGCCGGCCGTGGGCGAGGGGCTGCACGCGGCGCACCAGGCCATCCTCCAGCAGGGCGGCCCCGTGGGCTTCCAGCCATACCGCCGGCCCGTCCGCTTCCCCTTCAGGGTGAGGCCAGTCAGACGTTCCCCTCTCAGGCCGCTCGGTCCCGCCGTCACTCTGCGACCTCTCAGACGTGGCTCTTTCGTTTTGCAGATCGTGCTGCTCATCGCGTTCATGTGCGTGACGCTCCTGGCAACGAGCCTCATCTGTCTCACGTTACCGGGTGGGTCTGAGTCTGTCTGCCTCCTCATTGGACAGCGGCACCTAAGGCCTACTGGGTTTAACTTTGAACCATCCTGCTGCTGAAATCAGTGGTAATTGCTGCGAAAGTCACCTATAGTCAAATTAGATAAATACTTGCAAATGTTAAGAGGTGGTGTTGTCATCCTAAGTGCAGAGTTGTGGGTTTGAATCTGGACCCAGCTGTGTGTTTGTGTGTCTAGTTTGTATATTCTTCTCCATTTCATCTCCTCCCGCAATTCAAAGACATGCTCTTCATACTAAGAGCTATCTCTAAATTGCCCCATGATGGCCACTGCCCAGAGGGTACCTTGCCTTGGGCCGTGTACCACCAGGGACCATCTTCTGATAGCTTTAGAACAATGTTTCCCAATCCGGTCCACATTTCTGTGGGTCCCCGAGGATCGGATTGAGAGACACTGCTTTGGAAGTTCCTCAAAATGGGCAGGCAGATGTTTTTGACTATGATCCCTCCATACCCCTCTGAACTTCTCAGTGTTTGCCGGCCGCTGGTTGATGTCATTCTGGACGGGCAGCGCCAAGGTCCACGAGCTTTACACGGCGGCCTGCGGACTCTACGTGTGCTGGCTGTCCGTCCGGGCCGTCACCGTCCTGCTGGCCTGGATGCCCCAGGGACGCACGGTCCTCATCCTCAAGGTCCAGGAGTGGTCAGTGATGGTAAGGAGGAGAGGTCTTAGTCTTCCATCTGCCCCCTGAGTACTTGTCCTCAGTTTTATTGTAACCATACTGCCCCTATGAAGATATTAGCTACAGCTTTCAGCCTTGCACCTACCCATTTAAACAGCATCACCGATTTTCTCAGCCATTTTGTCATGACTAATTGGTAAGTTCTATTGCTCTGCTGTTGGGTGTGTTTTTGCTGCAGATCTTGAAGAGTCTGGTTGTGGCCTTCCTGGTGACTGGGGTCATTCCGCTTCTCCTCGGCCTGCTGTTCGAGCAGGTCATTGTGGCGCCCCTCCGCGTGCCCCTGGACCAGACGCCGCTCTTTTACCCGTGGCAGGTGAGCCTTGGAGTCTCTCACCGAGTCTTGCTCGCCCAGGAAACCTCTCTGCCTGTGCGTTATCAGTGATCAACAAAGCCATTAGTACAGGGGTCTTCAACTGCATTCCTGGAGAACCTCAGCCCTACACATTTTTGGGTATCACGCCTGATTCTACAGTACTTCTTTGCTAATTACCACCCATTTTTTTAAGTTGAATCAGGTGTGGTGGAACAGGGAAAAAACTAAACTGTACAGGGCTAGGACTCTCCAGGACAGGAATTAGAGATCCCTGGATTAGAGCGTAATCTTTCTGGATGAAGGTGCATGTCTCGTTCATGTCTTTCTGCTACGTAGGACTGGGCCCTAGGAGTCCTCCATGCCAAGATCATCGCTGCTGTCACACTCATGGGTCCTCAGTGGTGGCTGAAAGCCGTGATCGAGCAGGTCAGCGGATCTGTCTGTGCCTTCAGTCAGATGGGCTTTGTCTCCACTGTGTTCCCCACGGTCTGCTTTGCGTAACTTTTCGCCATGCGCTAGGTGTATGCGAATGGGATCCGGAACATGGACCTGCATTTCATCATCCAGAAGTTGGCGGTTCCGGTCATTTCAGTCTTACTCCTATCGCTCTGCGTCCCCTACGTCATAGCTGCGGGTATTGTTCCAGTCATGGGTACGTCTAATTATGTTTTAACGAAAAATACCTGGTGGTGGTATGTTTTATTTAAAAAATAAACATAGCGTAAGTCAAGGCATGAAAACACATTTGTTATATCAAAGTGAAAAAGCTTGGATGATCTTGAAGGGTGAGGCTGGGCGTGGTTCCTTGAGGGATTCCGTGACCTCATGTGGTGCTGGTGCATTGCCCTGCAGGGGTCACCGTGGAGATGCAGAACCTGGTACAGCGCCGCATCTACCCATTTCTCCTGATGGTGGTGATGCTCATCGGAATCTTGTTCTTCCAAATTCGTCAGTTCAAGCGCCTTTATGAGCACATCAAGAACGACAAGTAAGTCTACCCCGTAAACACCTGATTTTAGACATTGAGGATATTAAGAACTCTAGTCAGGATATTCATTTTACATGTATCATACCTGTCCATCGCTTAATTATTGCCTTTGCTAATATGGGGTAAATAAAGGCGTAGTGAAGCAATCTTGCAATGCCTCAGTTTGCAGGTCTTGCTATTTGAAATGACCATGCTCTCATAATCATTCAAAATACTGTGTTGATTCACTAATCAAAGCTGTTTTCACTGGTTCATCTTTCCTACCGTAGGTATCTCGTCGGTCAGAGGCTTGTAAACTATGAGCGCAAGGCGGGCAAAGCGAACGTAGCCCCGCCCCCCAGCTCCACACAGGAGTAACGTTATAAAGCAGGACATTCATCTAAGAAAGACTGCCTGGCAACCCCTTGCCTGGCCCTGCCTTCTCTTTTTCTCTACGGCATTTTTCACATCCAGGCTCTCGGCACCGAACCAAATTTTGTCCTCCGCTTGTAAAGGCAGCCTATGCACTTTGGCTTCGATCAGAAGCCACCAAGCTCGGACAGAGACAAGAAGGAGCCTTGCACATGTTAACAAATGTGGATATTAATTTATTAAATCGAGTCGTCACTTTATTTCATGGATTCTTGTTGAGTCTGGACAGGAATCTGCTGCCTTTGACACATCAGACTGCCTTTGTACTGTCGGGATCAGCCTGTTTTTTTTTGGGACACTTGTCTGCCTCTAGGGGCAGTGTAATATTTGAGTCTGCATCCAGACTGATCATGTCCTATAGAGCGTTACTTAGCTTCCAAGATGATACACCACTGTTGCTCTCTGTTTCATGCTTTTTTTGGTTGAGCAAAATGTATAGTAACTGCTAAATTATTCAAGGGTGACAATTCGTATTTAACCTATAACGGAAACTTTTTTTTTCTTTTTCTTATATTGTTGCTGGTTGTCTTTTGGTGAATAATTAAGAATGGAAAAGCTTTAACAGTGACCTTACAGTGATGGCAAAACAGCATGTGTGAGTCACATTTTCAGTTAACCAAATGCTGCTATTTATTTATTTTTCCTGCTTTGTTCATTGTGTGTATCATTTTTTTTTTAATTTACAGAAAATACTAGAAAGGGGTTGGACAGTGTTCTTATACACCACAATATGGTTATAATTTGATATTTATTACACATTGAAATTTGTGAATTAAATACAAACATTTTTTGCATTTCAGTTTCCCCTGTTTTAACACATTTGAAACGATATTTAGTTCTTGATAAATCAAGACCACTCTTGATGGCTGTTTGTTACGGTTCATTAGACAGAAGGATTTGTCTAAGTTAGACCTCTGATGCATGTCAAAGTTGTGTTCTGACGCTAGATTGTACCACTGATTATGAGGCTGTGCGACCGCCTTCAGTTCCTCAGAGAAGGACTTTACTCGGGACGAGTCTGCTAGGGCAGGGTGGTCATATTTAAGACATTTTTTAAATCCTAAGGGTGTAAAAATACTCATGGAAATGGAATATTTATCCCTGCACCATTTTGGAAGGGGCTTTTGGTAAACACTAAATGCATTTTTCATTATTTAAATTAGGTCAATAGATACATGTATGCCACATCTGATAATCTGTTAATTTTAGGTCTGTGAATTGTTACGTGTCTTTCTGTTACTGCTGGATCTTCGGTATTCTGGCTACTTTTAAAGCTGAACGTGTGCTCAGTTTTATGTATGGCTATAAAACGCTTAAGATCATTGGAATTTGTAATGGCTTATCTGGAATCAGTCATTTTAAATGTAGTGAAATCTGCATGCCATTACACATAGAACAGCCTAAATGTGTATCACCCAAGAAAAAAGAGGGAAAACTCATTTTATATTGGAAAACTAATTTATAAAATACAGTATGTGTCCCTTTAATTAACTTGTGGATATGCAAGCTTATGTTTTCAGTGATTTTAATTTTTCTCCCTTAGGGTGTGACCCATCATCTATTTATGCTTTATACGCCAACACATGCATACTTATGATCAATTATAAAATGCCTTTTACAACATTTAACTTGAAATTGTCAATTACATAAAATAAAGTGCATTTCAATTTGTTTTACAATTACTGATGGCTTATCTATATGATACATATCAGTCTTGTCCCTGAGCCTGGCAACATTGTAGAACTTTAGTAAATAGATCCTGAGAATTCTTACAAAACTCCATGTAGGACTGCATGGATTTCCCATCTACAGTATGCTATGGATATACCTGCTTATCCTATGCAGGTTTGTGGGGGTCTGGAGCTTATCCCAGAAGCTATGGGCACAAGGCCGGCAAACACACACACACACCATTTATATCTATGGGCAATTTGATAACGCCAATTCACCTTAGCATTTTTTTGTATTGTGGGGGGAAACCATTGAACCTAGAGGAAATCCCACGACGACAGAGGGAGAACATGCAAACCCACATAGAGCCGGGACAGAGACTCAAACCCTGGTCCCACTGGTACAAGGCAACAGTGCTAACTGTCCATCCATTTCCTTAAATTGTTTATCCTATTGAGGATCACACGGGGGTCTGGAGCCTATGGGTACCAGGCAGAGAACAACCCAGGGTGGGGCACCAACCCATTGCAGGGCACACACACACACACACACGCACCATTCACAGCTATGGGCAATTTGGCAATTCCAGTTGGACCGTGGATATCCAGAGGAAACTGCACGATGACACAGGAAGAACATGCAAGCTCCACACACATGGAACCCTGGCGGAGACTCGAACCCAGGACCCAGAGGTGAGAAGACTGTGCTAACAATTTAGCACAGTGCTAACCATATCTATTAATATTTAATACATTTGATGCTTTCACGTAATTAGGCTGTAGTTTTGTTGATACTAAATTTGATACCCAGCCTATTCACTCTTCATGAAAGCGGTACCAGAATGCTAACAGCATAGGCTGTGCAGCTATTACTTGTATATCTCGTGTGTCCATTTGTCTTCCCACTCTCCCATACTTTTTAAAGCATCAAATACCAGATGGAAAAGCGTGCTAATAAATGGAGGGGGGTGGAATAATGACCTCATCTTTTGGGATTATGGGAGAAGGGAGCTCTATTCCAAATGTCTCCCTCAGAAGCTCTGGTATCTCCTTGTCTGATATCTCCTGGGTGGTCTTAGAGATAGGGCCACCCACTTCAGAAGGGAAGCTAGTGACCATAAACTTGTGTCCCAAGTAGGTGACCCGTCCATTGGGTAGCAGAAGGGAACAGAGAGACTTGCAGTAGAAGATTGAACTTGGGGAGGTTTGATGATAGAGACACATTGCTAGGAAATCCTCCCTTTGCCTAGGCTGCAAGGTAAATTTGTACAGCCCGGTCCAGCCCATTTCCTCGCTCTTCCCTTCGGTTTGGTCCTCCACAGCCATCTCCAGGAACAAGGTCTCCCCCTCACACCGGACACGGAACACACCATGCTCCTGCTTCTGGGAATCTTCTGTCTCCAAAGAAATGGGGATCTCAAAACCTGCCACGAAGCCAACATCACAGAGCCATCGCTGTCCCTCCAGCATCACCATGACGACGAGGTGATCAAACGGAGGCCCGTAGACCCGAGTGATGCGGTTCTTGACTTGAGCCGACAAGACAGTGATCTCAAATCCCAGTTGTGATAGCAGCCATGAGAACAGCCCATTATTCTCATAGCAGAAGCCTCCCCTTCGCTGGTTGACTATTTTGTCATAAAGACACTGTAGTGCCAACTCCACCCGGCCACCACTGTGAATAGTCAAATTTTCAAACGGTACAGACAACAAATGTCTCCTGTGAATGCGATTAAGGGTCTCAAGTGTTGGTGTTGCAGGTCCATCAAAGCCAATCCTTAGCAAGTATTTTTCTGTGTCCATGCTCACTGAAACAAAAAAATGTTAAATTTACGGACGTACATTATAACATACTTTTCTAAAAATTAAAACTAATAAAATGCAGTGTAATCAACTTCTTAGGAATGAAGCAAGAACTTAATGTAATGCCATATTCTTTTTTAAAAAAAATCAAAGTTTATAACATAACGCTTACAAAATATCTTTCGGTTTCGAAAAGTGACTTCACCTTGTGTACAGCTTAATTTATCTTTATAAATAAATACAAACCTGGCGAAATTGTGGATGTAATTCTATTTTAAAGCGCTCTGTAAGAAATAAGTAAAGCGACAGGCGATCGTGGTGTATGAACTTGGATTTTATAGAAGAAACCAGGGACTTCTTCAGTTCCGATCCTTACTGTACCTTACAGGCAAAGTTCCCAGCAATTACGAAGACAGTTGTCGAAACTTTTTATCGTTTCCTCAAGAAAGCTGCAGACATGAAACAATTAATGGTAATTATAATGTTCAGATCGATCCTTTCCACTATACACAACCCAAAAGCGAGCATTTCCGGTCGTACAGCCTCCGGCTGAAAGTGCCTACTTAGCGTTTGTATTGTAATCCGGGTATTGGTAAAATCCGGAACTGAAACCATTTCATTCGTTTTTATACTTCACATGTGGGGATAAGTTATTGCTTCAGGCGACATTTTACATATACTTTCCGTTATAAAATTAGGTGCTTGTGTGGAGTTTTAATGTTATCGCCGTGTCATAGTGGGATTTCCGCCGGTTCTTCCAGCACAGCCCAAAACATGTCGAGGTAATTTGGGAGTTGTCACAATTGCTGGTTGGTGTGACATGTGTGTGAACGGTGTGTGTGCCATGTGCCCTTGTGCACGTAGCTTCCGGGATAGGAATGGACGGACTAATCCAAAGAGATCCGATTCGGTTTTTTACTTTAAACCAGAACCGATAGAGCGCGGAGGTTTACTATGAATCTTTATTACTAATGTAAGTTTTTTCCCTTACATTAATAACACTGGTACAGTGTATAGCTACCGGCTGTCCACTTATCGCCAACTAAGCGGTAATCTACCATCAGTTCTTTTCTGTCTCTCGCCACAACGGACATAAAAATAAAGCAGCGTGTTTGTGGTGTACTTGCTTTTGTATTCTGATACTACCTAGCAAAACTTATGTCATGGTTAGCGATCAACTATCTCAGCATTTAAGCACTTGACCTAATTAATTGTTTCGATAATAAAACTGCTATCTCTCTAGAAAACATGAGCATCCATGCACATGAACCAGTGGTTCATCATTAGTTTTGCTGAAAACAACGGCGGGGAAAACCAGCGTAATTGAACGAGAGGTGGGCTTTAAACCTCTTCTCTGGAGCCGTGCTGCCCACTGGGAACCACCACGCCGCTGTCAGACCTTGTCATGTTCACGGTGTGGCGACTCAGTTCCTGGCAACCCGGTGCGGCCACGTGGCTATGCGTACTGACCACGTGCCCGTGGCTCAGGCTATTTCCGGATGAAGCGTTCACCAAACATCTTGTTGCTAGGATACCGCACGCCGCACTAGGTTTCGTTAAAGTACATGTGATACCTTAACAAAAGCTGAGTTATCCGAGACGGTTACGTTTATTTGAATTCGTCAGGATATCTCATTTCACAAGGTATAATGAACTTATTTTATTAATTAGTTGGTGGAGCTATTCAACTGAAGAATGGGTATAATAACATAAATTATAAAGGAAACAGTTCGAGACAGTCTTTGACGCTTTCCACGGAAATAAACGTACAAGATCTATCTATCTATCTATCTATCTATCTAGCCTATATATCTATTCATTTTCTGTTCGTTTTGTTTTATTCAGCCATGCCTCCACCAGAAACGATGTATTGTGCCCAGCAGATCAACATCCCGCCTGAGCTGCCAGATATCCTCAAACAGTTCACCAAAGCCGCCATCCGAACACAGCCCCCCGACGTCCTCCAGTGGGCGGCGGCGTAAGTAACCGCACGTACGCTTGCGCCTCCAAGCATCTCAAATGCTTGTTTATGAATCGATTTGTTATTTTGCTCCAACGTCATGCTTTGTCCTCTCAGGTATTTCTCTGCACTTTCGAAGGGGGAGACTCTGCCTGTAAAAGATAGACTTGAGATGCCCGTAGCCACACAGAAGACCGACACTGGACTCACCCCCGGTCTTCTGAAGGTTCTACACAAACAGGTAGGGCAACCTGTAGGGAGTCACAGGACCACTTAAGATTGTCCGAAACCTGGACCTGCCATCTGGCATACCGGGCAATTTCCCGGTGGCCCATGGGTATGTTGATCGGCAAAATATATCCTGCATGGGCAGTACTGGTCCTAGCCGATGTGGTGCCCCAGACGAGCATCACCGCCGGAGCCCTCCGTCCGAGGCAAAGTGAAATTGATATGTCGCTTATCGGATTGACTGGGGCACTCCATGGACCAGGGCCGATTTTTAATCCCAGTTCAGCCAAGCCTGGCTGCCATTTGCCTGCATTAAATTTGGTCTGCTACATCTACCCCGCAGCTCGGATACAAAGAGACTGTCACGGAGGACGAAGTGAGACAGAGGTGGAGGGATCTGTGCCTGCCGAAGGAGCAGCTGGATTCACTGCTGGATCTCGGGGGCTTCACTGCTCACATCAGCTGGATGCGCTTACTGGCTCTCTGCTGCAGCGCTCTGGGCGGGGTAATACACGGGCACTGCATGCGGCATACACGCTTTCTCTTTGCCTAGCACTTAGTACGCATTTTACACCTGATCGAAAGCCCTTTTAACCGACTTACGTGATTTATATCATGGTCACATTATCCGGGGTGTGTACTTTTTGAAGTTTTGTTTGTGAGGTAATAACTAATCTAAAATTAATGACCAATACTTTTATAGTGTATGCATTTTTTGTCACATCACAATTTCTTAATAAAGCAAGTACATATGTTTGTATGTATCCATGTATTTACTTAGGCGTGTGTAATTTATTTCGGAATTCTGCAAGGATCTATTTCTTTGTTTGTTTGTTTAATCATTCTTTCTTTGGTGTTATCTATCTATCTATCTATCTATCTATCTATCTGATACTGCGAAGGTACTACTACTAGTTAAACTTCTAAAACCTTTTGAGTTTCTATTACTACTGTATACTCATGTAATAGGAGTATGGTACAGTTCTCTCTACTCTCCTCAAGGTGGCGCTAAAGGCCTGTCTTTAAGCTACAATTTCGTTTTTTTATTCATGAACATCACGCCTCATAATGTGACATATATTTATATATTCTTTTTATTGAACGGGACGCATGGATATGCTGTTTTTTTAAGGAGAGTTCTGCTTGAACATGGTCTCTTCTCAAATTCATAACTCCATGTGCGCCTTTCCTCATTTCACCAGACAGTGTAGTGTCAGTTGGTGGATTAATGTGTGACACTGTCCTGCTCGTCGTTCCATCTGTCCGCAGACCATCATCAGTGCGCTAAAACACGCCTGCGAGATCCTCAGCGAGGACCCAGAGGGAGGCCCTGCCCGCATCCCCTTTGATACCTCTGCAGATCTTTACGCCTACCTGGCCCAGCTGGATGGAGATATCCCTCAGGACCAGATCGACAGCTTTCTGCACAGCCTGCAGGATCACGCGTGAGTAACACTGTGGAGAGTGACGCATCTCTCTAATTAAATACTGCTCCCCGAGTTCCATCAGGATACACCAACATCTTGCTGAGTAACGTTAATGAATTTTAGGAGAAAACGCAACATCTATTGTAGCATCATCATCATCATGGATTATTAAAAGTAAACACTAAACAGCTGGCTCATTGTAGTACATATATTAAATATACAGGATGGCAATATTTTAGCTTTTTATTTAGACATCTATGCCATTCTCCTTTTATTCTTCCTTTAGGTAACTCCTGAATTGTAGTCCGTTTTACCCGCTACATAATTCTCAAAGGTAGCTTGAGAATAGCGATGTATATTTTTGACCACGCTGCATGTAATAAAATCTATTTTCTGTGATTTAGTACACACTTATTCTTGTAGTCAAGAAACACCATTATACACAGGTTTGTCTAATTATGAGCTTCGTTAATCGTTAATATTTAGTTGGTCATGTGATCAGGGTTGCAGTGGTTATGGGTAGCACTGTTCCAATATGCCTCTGGGGTTTTGGGGTTGAATCCCATGTCACTCGCTGTATGTATGGAGTCTGCATGTTTTCCAGGTGCTCTGATTTCCTCCTGTAGTCCAAAAACATGCAGTTAGACTAGCAAACACACAAGCACAATCTGAGTTAATGATAATAATAATCGATCCCCGTGGGGAAATTGTCTTTCCGCCTCCCTCAACTTTTTCTTTTTTGTAGAGTAAGTTGTCCACGAAGGCAGCCACCCATAGCAGCACCCAGGGAGCTGGGGGTTAAGGGCCTTGCTTAAGGACCCACAGACGTGCTGAGGCTGGGTTTGAACTGGTGACCTTCTGATTACAGGCACACAGGCTTAGCCCACTGAGCCACACGCTGAGTAACATTGTAGATTTAAGGATTGCATCCTTCCCTTTTTAAACTTTTTTTTTCATGCCCAGACCATGTAGAGATGCATACACATATTCAGATGGAATGAAGTCATTCACTCACCATACTGCATAATGTACAAGTGAAGACAAATCAGGAAATGACGTGAGGGGATTTTATTTCCCTGCTATGTGGTGAGCTGAGAGGGGCCAGAATCAATGGCCAGTCCTCCTGGCACCCAGCCAGTGATTCTAGCATTACCACATGCCGGTTTGCATGTGCCAAAACCGCTTATATTTCCAATAACCTTAAATGCACCAGAAACATCAGGCTTCCCGCAGCGAAAACTTGTCCATTTGCAACGACCATGTTTGCTGGTTTTCTTTGGTTGAAGCGAGATGGGCTGTTAGTGTCGTCTTTTGGTTTTAATAAAGGAGTGAGAGGACTGATCTAATAAGAGGAGAGCTACATTATCGAGAGAGAGAGAGAGAGAGAGAGAGAGAGAAAGAGAGAGAGAGAGAGATGGAGGGAAGGAGGGAGAAGATTATTCCTGAGAAGCACAACTTTCCAGACCGGCTCCCAGCTCCAGGGCAAGCTGAACTCCTCCCGCTTTTCTCTGTATTTTTTGACATTCACTTTGGGCCCAGAGAGCTGCTGGGAATGATGAAACCCCTCCCTACGACTTGGTGCATTTCCAGAGATGAGCTTAGTCTTCATTAGCTTATTTTCCTCTGCCCATGCCCTGGGGATAGATGTACTGCGAATCGCTTCCCTGTGAAGTGTATTGGAGCACAGTTTCACAATCGGGGGGCGTGTGTCTGACCTCAGTTTGTATGACTGTATTCAGTGACAGGTTCTGCTAAGTCGTTTTTTAAGCAAGCAATTAGGCATTGATTCCCCCCCCCCTTTTTTTCCCAGGAAACGTCAGGGAGGGATGGTTCAACCAACAAACTTCACTGGTCCTCAAAGCTGAGAAAACAAAGCCAACTAAAGCCAAAGGTAGCTTTCAAGACGCTAATATTCAGCAAAGGTTACATCACCAAGTCTTAGTTTCATTTGTCCATTTGGACACACAAGACTAACAACAGTGACATCTGAACTGTGCTGCTCTGGTTGGAACAGGCTG